TTCAAATTAAAATGTTTTATTTAAACCAAGCATAAATAAAAACACACAAGACCATATTAGTAAACAATTAATTGGCATGGTTTCTGTTCCATGACCTAATACCTACAGCTAGACATTTTGTAGCCATTTCTGAAAGCCATAAATTTTACCTGACCAACTAGAAATGAACACTACAAGTTTTAGAACAGGTTATTTTATAAGGCATATTAATAAAAATCATTTCCCTCCAAATTAAAATAATACCAATGAAACATTGTTTGAACGAAAATTACCTTTCTGTGTAATAGTTTTTTCACCAGGTGGTTTGGAAGTATCTAAATCTGATTTCTTACTATACTCCACACTTAGCACCACATCCTTGGTGCCAGGAGACTTCTCTTGTGATGACAATAATTCTTCTGTAGACATAAAAGTATTCAAAATAGTATCTAAATCATATTTTAACTGTTAAGGAAGACACTGTGGTTTAATAATCAAATAACATTTTTAAGCAATGTGTTTATTATGAAGTAGTAAGTATATAAATGCTTTCTTATGTAAACAACTGTGGCAATCTATCCGAATTGACCACTCGCTTAAATGTGTGAGCCACAACTTACTGTCAGATACAGGTTAAGTCTCCCTCATCCAAAAATATGAAACTTGTTGAGCACCTACATGACACTCAAAGGAAATGCTCATGGGAGCATTTCAGATTTTGGATTTCTGGATTAGGGATGTTTAATCAGTAAGTACTATACAAATGCAAATATTCCAAAATCCAAAAAAATCCAAAAGTCAAAATACTTTGGGTTCCAAGCATTTTGGATAAGGGATATTCAACCTGTATTTGAATTAGGAGCTGGGGAAACAGTAGTAAGTAAAACTCATGAAACAGTAGAATCTGGTAGACAAAAGAACGCTATGGAGTATGTGAATCAACTCTACCCTCAAAGTCGGTTGCACATATAAAACTGCAAAATGTTAGAAATATTCATATGCATGTAAGAAGATAATGGACAACACTGAAAAATTCTACACATGACTGTAAATTCGAGACCAGGGGATAGAGTCTTTTCCTAAGCACATGATACCATTTCTTCATTTTTAAAGCAGTTTCTTTATTTTCTTTTTTGGTCAGAGTTAGTAAATATTTAACTTCCACCATAAAAACATTTGTCATAAAGACAAATATCATACAAAATTCATAATACGTCCATAATCCTTATCACTTATTTGTGTGAATGAAGAGAAATACAGAAACCATGTGAGCCCAGGCGCCAGCACTGTACAAAAAGTTCATACGCCTTTTCTCTTCTTTAATCTTCACAACAGCCCTCCCTGTGAGATAACTACCTTCTAACAGATAAGGAGACTGAGGCTTGGAAGTCACAAAATTTTCCCAGGCTACAAAAACCACTAAGAGAAAAAGTTGGGAATTTAAAAACAGATCTGCTTGACTCCAAAGCCTATGCCCTTAATTCCTATGCTAAGCTAAATTCCTATCTCAAAATCTTCATGATGAATAATAGTAAGGCTTTCGACAACATTTCAAAATGATTACAAATACATGAAATACTTTTTTACAGTTTCAATCACATTCAAACCTCGGTAAACGATAGAACTATACAATTTATATGCAAAACTGTGATATTTTTGAGAGTGAAAAGGAACATTACTAATAATTATGCAGCGTTAACAAGTTAGGCACCCTAAACCTCAATCACTGAAATATATTTTGTCAGGTCTATTCCAGAATAAGAAAATGCATTTTTGGCAAGCCATACTTTTTTGTTAGATGGATAAATACCTTAAAGGGTTTCATTCAAAACTGCAGACTACCCCTGAAGTAGAAGGTGGCAAGATCAAAACAGTTTAAATACATAAACAGATGACAAAGTTCATTATATGCCTCTTAACTATTTAGGCTTAGTTAATTCTGATGATTTGGTTCATTAATTGATAGGGATAAAATGTTAGGGATATATATATATTTTCTTAAATATATATAGTATTTTTTGAGCTACCAGGAAATCTTTAGAGAAAATGGAAATTTCCATAGTTTTTATGAAGTTAGCAAAAATAATAATTATGTCTTAATTAGGTTTTAACCTTCACTTGTAAAAAATGCTTTAAAAGTTACATATTATAATTATTTATATGACATTCTTGACATGACAAAATTGTATAGGAACGAAAGGGGAAAAAGGAGTATGGCGGGGGCACGAAGGAGCAGAGGGAGGTCTTCATAGTGACAGCGTGGTTCTGGTTACACAAATCACGTGATAAACTGCATAGAAGTACACACACATATGTAAAACTGGTGAAATGTGAATAAGGTCTGTGGGTTGTTCCAATGTCAGTTTCCTGGTTTAGATAAATTACTGTAGACATGCAAGACGTTACCACTGGTAGAAACTGGATAAACAGTACATAGGACGTCTCTGTACTAATTTTTTGCAACTCACTAGGAATCCATAAATACATTTGAATAAAAAAAAAATTTTTTAATGATTTATCAGGTCTTTTCTGGAGACAGGAAACTTTATGACAAAGTTTAGTTTCTCATTATTAATATAACTATACATACAAAGCATGACTTTTTAAAAAATTTCGCCAATAACTAATGTCTGCTTCTCTTAAGGTTATGATTTCAACTGAATTTTATTCTCTCCATTAATAATCACCAACCATCATCCAGGTTAGCACAAAGAGAAAACACAGTCTTTGGTGGAGCCAAACAGATCCAATCTTAAAATGCCAAACAGTAAGTCCACGATACAGAGTAAATGGTGATTGTTAAAATTAATAAAGAGCTTGTCAGAATTATATAAAATTTCCTTAAAAAGTTAATTTATATTTTTTTAAGTAAAAAACTTATTTCCAATAAGATTTACCTTGTCCTTGAAGATGAGATATATCCAGACCTTCTTTTAGGCGAATAACCACTACCCCATATTGTATGTCAAAGGCATCACTATTGCAAGAAAAAAAAAAATTACAAAGTTTCCATGTTCTCCTTTATAAAATGAAGACAATAGTCAATGATCTCTAAAATTACTTTCGGTTTTAGAAGTCTGATTTTTAAAATGTGCTTTGAAAATTACTTGATGAGATATGTATGTTAGTCTAAATCCCACACCATTCCCATTCCCTTGTGCTGTAATACCCTTGAAAACTACTCTGTAGATCTTTACAGTATTAACACTCTACCTACAGCTGCTGTCTAAAGCAGTAACAGTATTTTTATCCTATAAAGTAAATTTATAGAAAAA